CGCCCCGCCCCCCTCCACGATGAGCCTGGGGCCGCTTATTGCTCCGCGATTGTATTGAGAGGCGATAACTCGCATCCTCATAATTTCCCTTATCCCGGGCCGCAAGCTCGCACGCACGCGCTCGCACGCTCGGCGTCGTGCACGTGCAGCACAAGCGCACGATCTTTATGTAACGCTGTATAACGGTGTGTGTGTGTGTTTGTGTGTCTCGCAGGTATACCAACTACGGCTTCAAGTACACCTTGGAGACGCCCATCTCGACGTCGCAGAGGAGAGAAGACGACAGGGTGACGTACATCAACAAGGGCCAGTTCTACGGCATCACCATGGAGTACATCCCGGACCCGGAGACCCCCATGCTCAAGAACCATACGGTCAAGGTGAGTGCAAATGAGCAAACAGAGAGAGAGACACAGTTGGAGAGAGCGCGAAAGAGCGCTGCAGCAGCTGCTGCTGCTGATGGGGCGTTAGAGAGTCCCTCTTTGATTGAGTGGAGCCACCCCGCGTCGACCTGATGCGCGCTGCACAAGCTGCTAATTGATGGGGCTCAAAAGAGGTCAGAGGCAAATGACCACCAGTGAGAGTGAGTGTGTGTGTGTGTGTGTTGAGTGAGTGAGTGAGTGTATTCGCTTGGCTGACCCCGCGCACGTCGCAGGGGTTTGGTCAGCACTTTGCCCTGCTGAGCCGGCCGGCCGGGCATATAAGAGGTTGTGCGCACCATGGGAACAACGAGCAACGAGCCCAGGCACTCTCAAAATGCGTCAACGCATCGCGCGCCGTGCGTGTGTGTGTGTGAGAGAGAGTGTGGAGAGGTGTGAGCTAATTCATTGCGACACGCTGGAAGTGGAGAGTGGGGCCGGGACAGCTAAGCCCTCTATCAACGCCCCCCTCTCCCTTTCCCATCTCCTGCCCCCGGCCCCCCTGCTCGCTCGGCCCTGCCGGAGCCCCTCGCTCCTCTCCCGACTTATTTGAGAGTTTGGGATTCTGACGACGGCTGTTAATCCCCCTTCTTGTGCGCGTCATCGGGATTGGGATTGGGGACACGTATGGGCCGCGGCCTGAGCCACTGTCACCAGATATCCCGCGCTGGCCTGCCCAGCCCTGCCATGCCCGTCCCGTTGCCTCCCTTCCCCCATGCCCCTCTCTTCACTCTGAGATTTGTCCCCGTCACGGGAAGAAAAGTAGGCGGGGAAGGGGGGGGGTACGATTATAGGAATACGGAATCTCCACCACACTGCTGGGGAGTGAGGTGACAGTGCGCCCAAAGCGGGTCTTATTTTTCTCATCACACAAGGCTGCTCACATATAACTCTCCATACGATCTGGTTCAAACCCACGACTCTCCGGTTAGCCGTTGCGGGGGGAGGGGGGGGGGTCAGGCGCGTCGCGGGGGCAGCTGCCGGCCAGCGGCAGCAGCAGCATCTAGCAGCGCCTGCCTGATCGGTCTGAGAATGCGTCTTCCAATTATTGACGAGCGTGGTCGCGGAGGAACTCACCCCGTTGGTGCAGCCCAGCCCGGCACGGCGTGGCCCCCGGCAGTGCGAGGGAGGCTGCCTCGCTACTCCAACCTGTTGCCGACTCTCTCGCACTGCCACGCCACTCGGACTCATTGTTGCTAACTGGCGCGTAATTGACGGCAGTGGACGCTATCACGTGCCCCGCCCCGCCCCGCCCCGCCCCGCCATTGGCGGCCAATCAATAACAACACGACGAAGCACGTCAAGCCGTTACCGTTAAGGGCGTGGCGGGGCGGGGTGGGGCGGGTCCTGGAGACCACTGGAGACACGCCCGCTGTCGCGCGACGTGCCCGCCTCGTGTCCTGGAGAAAGCCAAGAAAAGGCGTCTCTTTTTCGTCTCGTAGAAAATAATGGTTTGGGCTGGATGAAAAAAAAACGGGAGGCAGTAGTGATGTTCTGTTGGTCTGCGGCCGCTGCCGCGGGCTGTTGTGCTTGATGCCGCTGACGGGAGTGGCGCCTCGCTGGAGAAACACCAAATGGAGGCTGCCGGCGAGGATGCGCGCGGATGTGTAGCACAGGCGCACGGTGTAGAGAGATACGTACTGGGTAACTAATAATGGATCCAAAACTGGGACCTCCCCAGGTACCCCAGTGTCCCCACCGTATCTCTCTACACCGTGCACAGGCGCCTCGCTGGAGGAACACTGGAGGGTGTCATCTGCGCGGCGCCTTGTAAGGCCGTGGCGAGTACTTGGCTTACTCTCTTCGCGCGCGCGCGCCCCCGCGTAGCAGGATACCCGAGCCGGGCGGGGCGGGGCGGGGCGGGGCGGGGCGCCGGGCCCGCTCATAACAGTGTCATGATAACGCTCCCGGAAAGGAGAAAACGATGCTCGCACTTACGCGCGGCCCTATGTGTGGTTCTCTCTCCAGCTCCAGGACGCCGCCGCGGCGCTGGAGAGGATGCTGGCCGGCCCGTCCGGGAGGGCCCGGGAGAGATTAATTTTACTTGTCAGCGGCTTGGCGGTTGGTCTTGTTATCTGTCTCCGTCCCTCTTTGTGTGTATCATTGGCTGTGTGTGTACCACTCTCACTCGCTCCTCCTAGCTCTCACCGGCCCCGGCGGCAGCCATGTTTATTCATCTGTCAAGAGCTCATATCCAAATCAATCGCCGCGGTGCACCTGTGGGCCCCATGCCCCGCCCCGCCCCGCCCCGCCACGAAGCTGACCGGTCCGGCGCGGCGCGAGGCGACAGGCAATCCACTCCAGCGCGGGGTGGCTCCAGCAGCTGAGCCCCCCCAATACCCTCTCCTCTCTCACTAGATAACGAAAGCGGTAACCCGAACGTCGCCGTCGCCTCATGCTTTTTCTCCCTCGCGTCTCCTTCTCCTCCTCCTTCTTCTTCACCTTTGTGGCCCAGATTATTTTTCGGCCCGTTCGGTTCCCATGGTGCGTGTCCCGGTCCGGCGCTCTGGCCGATGGGGTGTGCTAATGGCTCGTACGCCGGGAGGAGCCACCACGGGGCCGTGGAACCACGCGACCAAGCGTCCCTAAACGCGGCCCACTTTGCATGTGTGTGTGTGTCTGTGTGTGTGAGCCTAGTGCTTGACCGCCCGCTCGGCTAGAGGTACTATAATACGTTGGGCTGATCAAATTTCGCTGAATATTAATTCCTTGGTGTACGGGGTCCTCGGCCGGCCGCCCGGGCCCGGGCCGGGGCCGCGGGTCTCCTGGCGCCGCTCTGCTGCGATTCGTGATGAAATGTTAAAGCTGCGTGAGGAAACGGCTTGGCACGCTGACCGCCTCGAGCCGAGCCTCCAGCTCCAGCCAGCGGGCCTCCACCCGGCCTTTTCACCCAGAAAAGCTTAAGAGCACTGTTGTGAATATTGCTTGTTCCGGGAAAATAGCCATGATAAGTGTGGCAAAGTTTAACAGTTTCCTTCATAAATTGTGATTTGATGCCAACTTGGTGGCCATTGTTTGTCTCAACCATATTTCATGGTGTCCTTGGATCAGTCGCACGAAGGGTGGCAAAAGCTAATCATTTTTCTATCTGACAGTCCAGCTACAGCCCGGCCTCCAAACGGCCACTCTGGCTTCAAATTCGACGCTTAACCGCCACGATATTAGCTCCCAAGCCGACTCGAGTTTCCATCAAAGCAGAGACGCGTATGGCCGTTTCCTAAAGTGTTAATTAAGCTATTGTGGGTCATTAAGTGGAGCCTTTAAGCGGCGGCCTCGTCTTTTTATGTGAGCATCCGCCGGCCAGTGACTCCAGGAGTCTCCAGGAGGCTCCAGGAAACTCCAGCCAGCCTCTTTGAGGATAAGAGCACCACGTTGCGTACGTCGCATGTCGACTGTGTATCAGCTGTAATATGCGTAGATTGAAATCTGCTTCATACGTGATCTGACTTCTCCCTATCTCTCTCTCTCGCTCGCTCCTCCCATTTCATTTTGCCCTCCTCCTCTCCTCTCATTACTTCCAATCCGTGTTCTTTTTTATTGTTATTTTTCGGTGAATGGAATGAATTCCCTGGCCCTTGTCCGCTAACGGCCTGCCGGCCAGATAAGCGCCGCGCGCGGGCTTTTTAAAATTTCACTTGTCTTGTCGACTTGTGATTGATACGGCTGCGGAGCGCCGGGAGTATATCTTCCTGTCAGGCCAGTGGGAGAGGGGAGGGAAGGGGCGCTCATGTGTTCCTCCCTGCCCCCACCTCATTCGGCCCCTCTCCGTTTCGTTTCCCCTCTTACTTTGAACAGAAACCAAAACTTTTAATTTCTCCCCTCTTTGAGGCGCGTTGTTGTTGTTGTATCTCCCCTGCTGTCCGTGCGCGTATCTTCACTTAGCCCTATCCGATCTCGCTGCCCCCTCCCCGTCCTCTCCGAGGATGTGGTGCGGCGGACTAGCGTGCGTGTAAGATTATCTCTAGAATGCCATAACGAAAAACAAACTACAGGAATAAAGCTACAAAGAAAGCAACTTGTCAGGTGGAGCCCCCCTCCCTCCCTCCCTCCCCCCATTTTCTCCCCTCCCGCGGCGCCCGAGCCTCATCATTTGACACCGCTTTGCGCCCCAATGCACTGTTAAGTATTTCTAACAATAAATGTACATTGCGTAATTCTGTCTGTAGACAGCTTGTAGCTTACTCACGAAATTTTGTAAACTTTCATTTGCACTTTTGTGAATTTTTGTACACCTGCCTACTTCCCCTGGCCTGGTCGGCAGGTGAGAGACAGTGTGACGTATGGGCTCATGGAGGCTCATAGAGGTTCATAGAGCTTAAATAGGCATACATTGAGGAGATCTGACGATGTGACTGTCCCGCCCCGCCCCTCTTCTGTTCTCGTGACGAAGCGCGGCCGCGAGTTGCCCATGACTGACCGCACGCTGCGCACAGGCGCCCGACCGTCTTGCTTCTTCGCCTCAATTAAATGTTTCCGATCTTGCGAACGAGGGAGCGAGCGAGGCGCGCCGCGTGTTGTGTATTATGTAGGGGAAAAATGCATTTCCGCCTGCCATGGAGCGCGAGCGGCTTTATTAAGATTTCTTTATCTTGGTACCTCCGTGTGTGTGTGTG